CGTGTCTATTCAGGTCTTCGAGGAGAGCGGTGGCGACTGTCGACTTGCCTGAGCCGGGAACACCAGCCAGCGCAATCAAAACTCGCTGTCTAGGATCATTACGATTTTGTTCAGCGAGTAGGTGCTCGGCGCGAAACCGTAACTGAGCTGTCGTCTTTGCCAGGTTATCCCCCACGCTCTTGTTGTTGGAGAGATCCAGCATACTGAAAGGCGGCAATGTTTCAATTTTGTGCAAAGAGGGAGAAGCTTGTTCGAAGACTGGTGGCTGCAGCTGTTGCTGGATTTCTAACTGTGGACTAGGCATTGGCTCAGCATTCGGCAGCCTTGAACGTATTAGCCTACCACAACACTCCGCATGCTTATTTGGCCCGGACGACTGACGTCCGATCGACAAGAAAGCCGGCGCACATCTGCGGAGATCAATGATCTATGGAGTGCAAGTCGTGGATTCCATGAGTCAGTCAAGTGGTTTAAGCCAGCCATTTCAGTTCCCAAGCCCGCAAATCGTGTGGACCCGGAAGAGGTGCCAAAGTTGGAGGGCATTGGTCCGGACTTCTGTGACCCGAAGTCAAACTCTAGGTTGGTACAATCCTGGGCTCTAGAACCGCAATACAATGTTATCTTTCACAAGTCGGCCTGATGTATAAATAAGTACCCCAGGTCTTCCCCGCAAGGAAAGATTCCCCAGATTCGACTGGATCAAATCAGCAACATCAAAAGCTAGGTGTTGGAAACTTAAAAGCCGAAAGATGTCAGAACTTCAAGGCTCCAATTCGGAAGGTGGTTCTTCGCCTAAGCGAGGCCCCTGGAGCTTGCTGCGCGAGAATCCCTTCATCGTTGGACTATCAGCGGTAGGACTTGAATTCCTGTCTCAATTCGCAGTTCAAACCAACATAATCTTTGCTACCCCCATTCATTGTCTACAGATATTGTCCTCCTTAACTCCAACCCTTACTAATATCTGTCCAGTTTGCTAGTCTCGGTGGCTTTCTATTCGGCTACGACCAAGGTGTAGTTTCCGGCGTGCTTACTATGGAATCTTTCGCCGCCACGTTCCCACGCATCAACATCGACAGCGGCTTCAAGGGCTGGTTTGTCTCGTCGCTTCTGCTATTGGCCTGGCTCGGATCTCTCGTCAATGGCCCCGTAGCCGATTGGATCGGCAGGAAAGGCTCTATGCTGCTAGCTGTCGTTATTTTCACTATTGGATCTGTCTTTCAGACTGCTGCCAACGATGTTCCACTCCTATTTGCAGGTAAGTTGTCCGTCCAAATATTTCCACTTGCTATATTTTATTCGGTTGTTTATTCGTAACTAGGCCGTGCTATTGCGGGATTCGCCGTTGGCATGTTGACCATGATTGTCCCCATGTACATCTCCGAACTATCTATGCCCGAAATCCGAGGAACACTAGTAGTCATGCAACAACTTAGTATCACTCTTGGTATTCTTGTCAGCTACTGGCTCGAGTACGCAACCCAGTACATCGGCGGCACTCGCTGCGCTCCAGATATCCCCTATTCAGGTGGCACTACCAACCTCCCCAAATTCGATCCTCGTTACGATGTCGGCCCGGGCGGCTGCACCGGACAATCCGATATTTCGTGGCGCATTCCCTTCGGTCTACAGATTCTGCCTGCTCTCGTGCTGGGTATCGGCATGCTATTCTTTCCCGAGTCTCCTCGGTTCTATCTTCTACGCCGCAAAGAAGACAAGGCACTCGCCGCCCTGGCCAAGATTCGACGAGTGCATCCCGACACTGCCTCACTACGTAACGAATACCTTGGCATCAAGGCAGAGGTTCTGTTCGAAGAGGCTCTCAACCGCGAAAGGTATCCCGGCAAGACAGGTATTCCTCTATTCATAGCACAACATGTCGCCCTCATTTCGACCTGGCCTGCCTTCAAGCGCCTGGCTATCGGCTGCTGCGTCGCCTTCTTGCAACAATTTATGGGGTGCAACGCGATTATATACTACGCACCGACGATGTTTTCCCAGTTGGGTTTGTCGGGCAAAACGTCAGGTTTGCTCGCGACCGGCGTATATGGCATTGTGAACACTTTATCAACTCTCCCAGCTCTCTTTCTTATCGATAGAGTGGGCAGGCGCCCTCTGCTTCTCTGCGGAGCTGCTGGTACGTTCATCTCGTTGGTCGTCGTTGGCGGCATCATTGGCGGTTTCGGAGAGTCACTCAGAACGAACAAGTCAGCCGGGTGGGCTGGCATCGCCTTCATCTACATTTACGACATAAACTTCTCGTACTCGTTCGCTCCTATCGGTTGGGTTCTTCCCTCTGAGATTTTCAACCTTGGAAACCGTTCGAAAGCCATGGCAATTACAACAAGCGCGACCTGGATGTCCAACTTCGTCATTGGACTGGTGACTCCGGACATGTTGCAGACCATTGGATACGGCACCTACCTCTTTTTCGCCGGCTTCTGCGCCATTGCCTTCTTCTTCACGCTTTTTCTCATTCCGGAGACGCGCGGCAAGAGCCTCGAAGACATGGACCTGGTGTTCGGAGACACGGCTGCACATGACGAAAAGATGAGATTGGTGGAGATAGCAGCCTCCATGGGCCTCACTGATGTTTTGTCGGATGAAAAGATTGACGATGTTGCAACGAAGGTTGAACACCACGCTTGATAGGTGCCTCAAAATGTCAGGTTATTCTGGTGCGTTTCGGACACGAAGGAAATGGGCAGCCCGAAAGCGGATCGCACGATGGGATACATCGATACCGCAGAAAAGCATTTGAGCTCGAGAATTTTCTTTGGGGCGTCAATGATTATCATGAGAACTTGGGTAGCTCACACAGGTTGTTGCGTAGCAAGTCGTATTCTGCGCAGCATGGCACTTGAATAAATAATTTGAAAGACAAAGCAAATAAAAATTTGGGTATATCATTGACGCAAGGCTTTGGTACCAGGCCGGGCCGGAATAGGTAAACCAGCAGAACCAGCTATCACAGACTCCGTCAGCGTTGCCCCATCTGTGCTGCCGGGAGTTGCTGCCGCCGCCGCCGTCACCACCATCATGGGCACAGCAGTCAAGAATTGATCGTGAATGTAGTTGAACCAGCATCTCAACGGCACACTTCTGCACCTCCGTTCTATCATCTGGAGATGCCTGGTAGGCCTACCATTCCTAGAGCGCCTGCACCAGCTGCAGCCCCGATACTGTTCGGGCCTTCACGATGGCCGAACGACCCGTATATTCTCTTCTCCCCATCCTCGCCTGTAGCTTGAGATGCACTGTCGTCCTTTGGCAGCACCTTCTTCGGGGGCTTTCGCTCGTGGAGGGGCTTGAGGTAGTAGAGGAACTTTGAGAGATCTGGCATTGTATCAACAGAAAGTAGAACTTGTGGTGAGAGGGCTGTGAAGTCGATCGAAAGACGAGGGTCAGCGGGCGCTGTGCTGAGTGACGGGGTGACGAGGTGATTAGTGTTTGGTGGTTTAAGTGAGGTCTCGTCTCAAGGAACTCCCCAGGCATCGATGCCCAGCCTTTATCTCGAGTTCGTTTTCTTCTCGCAACCATTTCTTGCAATTTGTGGCAGTGCAGCATTTGCGTGTGCTTCGCCATCATCTCTGTGAAAGACTCAGCAGATCTTCCATCAATCGTTGTCGTACATAAACGCCATTTCATGGCCAGAATGAGGCCCTCGAATGCTGTGCTACACCGAGGGCTGAAGACGCCGCGCCGCAGCCCTGCAGGGCGTCAGGCGTTCTTGCGGTCTGGCCGCCTAGCAGGGGTGCCGTTATATCACGATCATATGGCAGCCTGGGTGCATTTTCTGATTGGCCATCTTGAGCAGATGAACATCTGTCTGCGACAGCACAATCAATACAGAGAGAATAGTGCCGCTGGAGTCTCTTTTCACGATTGTGGCGAATGGCTGTGCTGTCACTCGAGACCATCGTCCAAGAGCGCAGCCAGTGCCAATATTCAGATCATATCCGTTACGCTTTCATGCTGTAGATCAATAGTCGCGTTGACGATGTCCTTCGTCCTGCTGGTGTCGCGCACTCGATGAAGGTCTCCTGCGGTCGTGGTGTCGAGACTCGCGACGGTCGCGATTCTCTTCGTGACCGTCGAGTTCACCCACCCCATCACGTTTTCGGTCGCGATGCCGCCTTTCAGAACGTCTCTCATCTCGCTCACGCCTCTCTCTGCGCCTGTCGTCTCGCCGCATTTTCTCGAGCTCCGTGTCCCTCTCTTGCTGTAGTTTCTGCCTTTCATTCTTAACTTCCCTCACCTTGGCAGCCCCTCGCTTCATCAGGGCTAGCGGGTCACTGGAGGTAATCCTGTCTGCTGCCCGCTTCTTGCGCCCAGGGTCTTCGTTGCCCCAGACGTCCTTCTCAGATGCCTGGAACCCATCTGGCTGTGCTCCGTCGTCGGCTGTCTTGGAGTACCAGGGGTTCAACATGCCTCCACGGCCCGGGGCGCTCGACAGACGCATCCTGTATTGGTCCTCGTATTCACGCTTCTTCTTTTCAGCCTCTTTCTCCGCCTCTTCGTTCTTCTCTGAACGTCGGTTTGCCTTGCGCTCCTCGCCAAACAGATCAATGTGTCCGTTCCGATCCACAATCGGCGCGCTGCTTGTTTTCCTTTGCGAGACATCTTCTCCGTGTGCTCGGACCACAGCAGATCGTTCCTGAGCGATTCGTAGTTCAAAGTCCGTATCGTCCTCGCCAGTGCGTTTCCGCTTCTTGCGCTCGTGACCCGAGGCATGGCGATCGCGCCGAACGACGGCTTGTTCAGGGCTAGGTTCCGGTAGAGGCGGAGGCTCTTCGCCGCGCAAAATGGCTAGTCGACGCTCTGCATCGACTTCTTGCATGCGCTGCTCCTCAGCTTCTTCGGAGGCTTTGGCGGCTGCCTCATCACGGCGGACACGGGCAATGTTGTCCGCGTTGTACACGTTCCAAGACTTCTTTCCTAGGAGATGACTAAACTTCGTCAGCGGCCATCCGTGGAATTCCAAGCAATACAAAGCTTACAGAGGCATCCTGATGGAGATTGCCAGAGGGCCAGACTCGTCGAGTCCCTTCCGCCTGGGTCTGGACCGGGTGATTTTGGGCGCCTGAAGCGAGAATGAGCTCGAGCGAGGAGCGATAACGAGCTTGGGCAAGGAGCGATAAGCGATAAGGCCATGTTGGAGGGGCCAGTTGGTCGTGGGGAAGGCGAAAACCCCACCATGACGGTATGGGCACCACAGGTAGCTCTGCCACTAAACCGCTTTCAGCGGGACAGCTGCGCCTGAACGGACACTTCAGGTACTTACGAAACACCAATGTGACGACGCTGGCCTCCTCGAACATCTACAGAACACCTTACGACCAGAATCTGGAAGTAAACGCATCGCCCCCTTAATAGTCCAAAGTTAAGGTTAAGACCTTCTACCACAAATCACGACCAGATCTCCTAGACCTTCACTTTTACACACTCTCTCCCCGACATGTCACGAGCACCGCCTTTCGGCCAGGGCAGGATGGGCCTTCCAGGCGCCAACCCACGAGCAGTACCCTCCAGAGACCAGCCGCCCCGCGAGTCCTATGGCCAGCAACCACAAGGCTCTTATGGCGGCAGCGGCCAAGGATACGGCAGCCAGGGATACGGTGGCCAAGGAGGCTACGGACAACCACAGCGATCCCCCGGCCTGCCTTCAAACTACGAGAAGTCTCCCATGTCCCCCCCGAGAGGTGGCGGCGGCGGCGGCGGCGGCGGCGGCGGTGGTGGAGGTCGACAGGTCCCTCTCACGGTCGGTAAGGTACAAGATAAGACCATGCAAAGCCATCTCATCTATCACAACAAGTCAGTTCATCCGAATGCTGCGACTCGCTTCAAAGTAGTGCTAACTGTCATGAAGATGCGCCGTGTCGCCTATGGACTTTCCTCCGAGCCGCGACGGTTCCGACCTCTATATCCTCATCCATGGTGGTGAGCCTCTTGGAGAATATGTTGTCAGTGCCGAACCCGTTGACGGCTTCCCGCCTGGAACCATCTCTTTGTCCGACCCTCAGCGAACGTGGTGCCGCATTGGCATGATGGACCGCTTCACTGGCGAGGTCTATGATCCCTTCAGCCACGGCAGCCAGGCATACCTCGGCAGTTTGGATGTCGAAGTTTCATTTGCCTCAGTTAAGAAGACATCAGCTCAAGCATACGACGAAGACGACCTTGTGCCACGATTCCTCAAGACATACCAGAATCAGATCCTATCTCCGGGCGAGAGGATCCTCATGGACGTGAATAACGTTCCCCTCATGATCGTTGTCAAGACCGTCGGCTTGGTGGATCTCGGCATGTCGACAGAGGCCGCTGGCGCTGCAGCATCGAGGGAGCCTCGATCTCGCGGTATCATCACGCCGGAGACGAAGGTTAACTTTTTCAAAGCGCCCGGTGCCGAGATCAACCTGAAAGCCTCCGCTCACAGGGCCAACACCAACTCGATTATTGCTCCCGATTTCAAGTTTGAGGACATGGGCATCGGCGGCCTCGGCGAGGAATTTGGCACCATCTTCCGCAGAGCCTTCGCATCTCGCGTCTTCCCGCCCCGACTTGTCGAAAAGCTTGGAATTCAGCACGTCAAGGGAATTCTGCTCTTCGGCCCTCCCGGAACCGGCAAGACGCTGATTGCCAGACAAATTGGTAAGATGCTGAACGCTCGTCCACCCAAGATCATCAACGGTCCTGAAGTGCTCAACAAGTACGTTGGTGCCTCGGAGGAGAACGTCCGCAAGATGTTCGCCGATGCGGAAAAGGAGTACAAGGAGAAGGGCGACGAGAGTGGCCTTCACATTATCATCTTCGACGAGCTGGATGCTGTCTGCAAGCAGCGTGGATCAGGCGCCGGTGGAGGCACTGGTGTCGGTGACAGTGTGGTCAACCAGCTTCTGACGAAGCTCGATGGTGTCGATCAGCTCAACAACATTCTACTGATCGGAATGACGAACAGAAAGGACATGATTGACGAGGCTCTGCTGCGACCTGGACGTCTGGAGGTTCAGCTGGAGATCGGTCTTCCTGACGAGGACGGTCGAAAGGAAATCCTCATGATTCACACCAACAAAATGCGTGAGAATGATATCATGGACGATTCGGTTGATGTTCAGGCCCTTGCGGCGCAGACCAAGAACTACTCTGGTGCTGAGATTGCAGGTGTCGTCAAGGCTGCGACGTCCTTTGCCTTTAACCGCCATACCGAAGTCGGTGAGATGGCGAAGATGAAGTCGGACGTCGCCTCAATGAAGATCAAGATGGAGGATTTCCTGGCGGCGTTGACCGAAGTTAAGCCAGCGTACGGTGTCTCGGAGGACGACCTGGCGAACTCGATCAAGATGGGCATCATCACGTACAGCCGCCACATCGAGGACATCATCCGCACTGGAATGGGCTACGTCAACACTCTCAAGGAGGGCCAGGTCCTAGACAGGATGTCAGTCCTCTTCCACGGCCCTGCTGAATCTGGCAAGACAGCCATCGCATCACACATCGCCATGCTGTCCGAGTACCCCTTTGTCAAACTCGTGTCACCGCAGAACTTGACACCCTTCCGCGACGAGTTTGGAAAGAAGGACTACCTTTCTAAGGTCTTTGCCGATGCTTACAAGTCCCCGCTCAGCATAGTCATTCTGGACAACTTTGAGCAGCTCATTGAGTGGAACCCTATCGGGCCTCGCTTCTCAAACACCATTCTTGACAGACTGACGTCCCTAATCCAGTCTGCGCCTCCAAAGGTAAGCCGCCTGCCCATCTTCTCCATTGCGACGTATCACTAACAAGCATACGCAGGGCCGTCGCCTCCTTGTCTTCGTGACAACTTCGGAGTTGAACGTCCTCAAAATGCTGGGCGTCATGAAGCTCTTCAGGCGTCAGATTCCTGTGCCTGCCGTTTCCACGCTGCGTGAGCTCGAGAGCCTTCTCAACCAGACAAACAACTTTGACTCGGCCGACATCAACCACATTGTCAACACCATTTCACAGGACACCGGGTCGCAACAAGTTGGCATCGGCATCAAGACGGTCCTCGAGTGTCTGGAGGAGTCACGCGTCGAAGCGGCCAGGGGAGAGGCGAACATGGTAGAGAGCTTCACAGGCCGCATCGTGTCTGCCATCGGGTCGAATTTGGGTTCGGAATAGTTAAAAGTTGGCCATAGATGAATACGATGACAGGTCACACAAATTGCGCTTAATGATCAGGCAGCCCACGGCACGGAGGCCCAGCTGCTGGCGTGCCTCTATCTGGCTTTGACTCGGTTCTTGGAGGTCTTGAGTTGTCACTTTTCCCAGTTTACTCAGCCTTCCTATCGAAGCACTTGGTCCATTATGTTGGTCTCTTTCTCGGCGTATCTGGTGACGCGTATCAAGGATCGCTCTTCACAGATTGTGAGCATCAGGTCGTTGGGCTGTATTCTCGGAAATCCAGACCATACTCCCCAGGCGAAACGACATGGGAATATGGCACTGGATCTAAGGCAGCACACAGCAAGGTGTGTCTGGCAGCCAATCTTGTAGTGCCATTTGCGCAACTAAAACTACTTCCTTTCTCCGCGCGTGGCGTTCGCGCTGTGCTTCCGATGGTCCTCCTCGGGAATTCGAAGCGTGCCAGCCTCTTTTGATAGGATTCATACTCTGCTCTACGCTGGTTGTAACCCATCGATGCAGGAGGACTGCTCGCGAACCACAGGAAAGGCAAAGCGTCAGGCTCGATGATGTGAGGTCACGGGCTGGACTAATCACAGAACCAGAGGCTGTAGTCAGGAAAATTCGAAGTCAAGAATCGAAGCCGGGGATTTGAACTACATTGTGGCCCGGGAGGCTAATCTTTCTCAGGGCGTTGAATTCATCCCGGAAACACAATACAGAGAAGTTCTTGATCAAAGTCGTTTCTGCACGACGTCAAAACGAACGATTGAAGACTCGTAAGTAGGCCCCCTTCGCCTTATCTGGTTGATCAATGAGAGGCTTGTGAGCTCCAGTCAGCCCAAATGACATGTGATCATCATCATGTGTGGTTCTCATGATGCCTGCAGGTCAAGTCCCCCACTACACTTCGCCGTTAAGTTCTAGCACACGTGCACTCAGCTAGAAATCATGTTCTTATTTGAAACGATCGAACAAATTTTGTACTTCGAGTCCGTATATGTTCGCTCAGGCTATGTATGATATCTGCCACGTAACATTTAGAAGCCACCGGTCTCATAAGATCGTGCAAGGGCGCGATACATCCAGATCATACGTAGTACCCTATGATTTTTGCTTCATACTTAAACCAAGTGGAATCACTGCCGTCTTCATTGAAGGTTCAGAAGGAGAGGGTATTTCCATTCTTCCTCAAATACTCGAGAGAGCTCGTCAAAGCTATAACTTTCCATTCTGCTGAGGACTCCGAACGTGGACACGTTTGTGAACTCAATATGGGTATGGACGCCGCAACAGCTGAATTTTCATGAAAACTCTACAGCTCCGCGCTGCACCGAGGGCCTGTTCTTTGACCACACGTTGTAATTTCCGAGCCTGGATCTGCTCAACTACGACTTCGGTTGTTCGCTCAAAAGACGTCAGTCTCGGTTAGAAGAACCCGTAACAAAGTTCAGCACGACTCGATAATGTGACCGGTTGTCCATGAGGCATAACTGGATCAACGCGTCTAAGTCCAGCCCTTTGTTGTAAGGACCACAGGTCAATTTTACTGGAACACACTATCATATACATTAGCTACCTACCTCCGATCCGTGCCATGCATGCTTTCATGACGCGAACAGTAGATGGAACAGAAACGTGACAATGCGGGGGCACATACAAGGGACGTGGGGATTCACAATGCCACCCACGTACAGTCTTCACAACATCGCGGGATACTACTTCTCATCATGCAATCATTGCTAATGGTGGTTGAGTGCATGTTAGTTGGGACCGGGAGGGTGACATGCGCGCGGAGAGTGGGCCTGTAACTTTCGGCTCAGGGGCTCAGTGAAATATTAGGTTGGCGAGGGAGAGACTTTTGCCTCAAGGGGGGCGCTTCGCTCTTTGTTTGACGTGCCTTTCAGGGGGCTCGAAGCCGACTGTTCCACCTGATTAGGCTTGTACAGAGCTCTATGTCCAGCAAGGAAAAAGTTCCTGATCCGAGACAGTTATCGAAACCAGGTGTATCCTCACGCGAACCGCTCGTGGTAGCATGGCAGTCCTAGGTTGTATCGCACTTGTATCCTGTGTGACGGCCCTACATAATCTACTACCCAAGTACTTCACGCGGGGTTAGTGCTACGAGAACCGCACAGCACGGTCTCGTGCCTATGCAGCATGGCTCAGCCTTGGACAGCAGATGAAGTTGAGCAACTCTTTTCCGCCCATGACAGCGGAGAACTCGGAAGTCTGGCATAGAAAATAAGGCGCACTGCTGGGCTAGCTTGGTGTTCATGTCACAATCACCGTCAGATTTTTGGACCATGGCAGCCAGCAAAGAAGCACCGATTCTGGAAATTGGTTCTGGAGACTGTAAACGATGATTACAGCTAGCCCAGAACGGACTTACTTGGGTGTTCATCATGCAAAATGAGACCCGTAGCAGGACTACTGTAGGTCCACCCTCTCTCGAGTTGGGCAGCAAGATCACCAGCGACCACGCGAGAAACCCCGCCTTGGATGGTTGCAAGCGATCGGGGAGCCGGCCGCTGCCCATCTCCGACATGAGCCCTCGATCACCTGACCGCCATCAAGCCGGGTCGAGCACAGCTGGGTGGAACAATTGAGCACCGAGATGGCGCCCGGAGGTGACTGAACCCTTTACTACTGATGACTGGGGTTGCGCAAACTGCATTTCCGTCGAACCGCGCTGCTGGGAATTTGACGTGGGAAGCACAGCCTCGAAGGCGCACGTTCATTCGACGACTCGTATGAGGATCGTTTCCGCGTCACCTACCTAGTGCTGCGACAAGAACCCTTCAATCTAACAGCTGGCTGGCTGTAGGCGTTTTCTGGCGGCCTTCCCTCAGAACGGCGAACCTTCCCTTACGTCGATGGTGGGACCGAAAGCGAAGACAACAGGTCGACTATGGTAGAAGCATACAACGTTCAGCTAGATCTACGCCTCACTAGCAGCCATGTGGGAAACGGTTCATCTCGTCAGGAGCTGCTATCAAAGCCAGCTCAGCCGCCGTTGGCTTGGGGCCACTGCGCCATTCATTATCAAAGTTTACGCGGCGTGCGGTGGTTTTTGGGACGGCCCGGCACCTCTGAGGGTGGCCAGGGTTAGTCGCCGGCGGCGCGGGGACCACTTCTTGGTCTGTGGTTTCAGGCTGGGTGTGAACAATTTCCGATCCTTGCGCGGTAGGCGACAAGCGTGCTCATGTTGTCGTGTGTCTGCAAAGGAACAAGCGCGCATCACTGGGCCAGTGAGGTTCAGATTGGAAGCCAGATGCGACGGCCTTGAGCTCGCGTGATGGTGACTTGTTTGCCCAACCGGGATTCGAGATTTTTCAGCCCTTGCTGTCCACCAGCTTCATAGAGTTCCGGGGGTATCACTAGGTACTATCCGGATCGTAGACCATGCAGTTCGACCCTTGTCTGTCGTCTGATGCCCACGCGATTGGCCTCCTGAACATTATTGTAGTCAACATTGACGATGACGGTATCTTGCCTTGCACACTTCAGGTTCGGTCATAGCGCCATCAAAATAATGTCGTGCAACACAACGAATCATGGCTTGTGGAGTGAGAATCTTCATCGGACGGGAGCGGATCTGCCTGCGACCACTGCCGAGGGCGGTACTGTGCGTGCAATGACCTTGACATGGAGATGTCCAGTACACCTGCTCTGGGCTGGCAGCCATTAACCAATGTTGCGCTGAGCAAAGCTCACTCACCCACTCACCGGTGAGCGACGCCTGCGTGCTGCATGACGGGGCACGTTAGCCATGTGATTAAAAGCCGTGTCTTGCAGAACGAGTTGCAGCTAAAATGCAGGTAGAGGCACAGGATGCAACCCTGTTTGGTCCAATCACAGCCAGAAGCATGGTCGGCTTCGCGACACCTGGCCGCGATGCCGTGAACCTCGTCGCCTGAGGTGAGTTTGATTTGGGCGATGCGCGCGAAAGTGAACGTATGAGAGACGAGGGCTTGGCTCGTTGATTAAGCAATCGGCACTCCACAGCCTGAAAACACTGAACGGATCTCCTCTTCGTCAATGCTTTTGGGAAGCACAGGGTGGTCGGCTCCTGAATATGGTTCGCCAGACGTGTCATCGAGTCGGCTAGGGGCCCTTGTTGCTTCTGCTTTGTCACAACAACTGGTGGGCACAGGCCCAAAGGCAGCGTGCTTCTTTTTGTTTGTCGCAGTGTGCTGACTGACTTTTCGACGGCTACGGTGGGTTGTGGCACGTTTGTGCCGTGTTGACATGGGGCCCTCAGGGTCTGTGGGGTTCACGTTTGTTCTAATCCATGGCCGAGCCAGAGGAACATGTGTTGCGACACTGTACTTGGATGTGCCCTGTTGGGAGGGAGTGAACGTGTCAGGATGGGGACCTGAGCCTAGGCGGCTGTCAGCGAGGCGGAGGAGGGGTAGATTCCGACAGGTGGAGGAACGTTATTAAGGTTGAAAGACCATAGCATGATGGAGAGCCAGCCAAGGTCGCCTCTTCCTGTGGGAAGCAGGGAGGATGGAGGGCGGAGTGAGACACAACATTCCTGGGCGAACCAGTGCCGCAGCGCAACCATCATGTCCAAGTGCTGGCTACAAAGCTGCTCAGCTCGCTCGCTGCCGTGAGACAATAGAACATTGGGAGGCCTGGCTGCACACACCATCTGGGGAAGCCGTGGTCTGTCTGGTTTAGTCACCAATGGGCCGCGGAAGCCACACGATAATCCGATGGTGCGGAAACAGTCTAGACCGCATGAACGACCAAATTCGACGACCAGGCTCAGGTCCCCTCCCAGGGCCTAGGGATGGGGGGAAAGGCTTTGACACGAAGCATCCGGACCGGTGAGATCCGACGCTGATCAGGTTTGTGCAGCCGACAAGATGTGCTGGCCCAACGAAAGTTTTGTTATCTTCTCGAGACTTTCCAAGCCAAGAAGTACGGGCGGAAGTTCAAGGGTGATGAGTGTTGGGGGTTTTAGCCAGAGGGTCGAAATGGCCAGAGACGCGGGGCAGCATTGGGGAACAAGACAAGGAAGAAGCACCACCGCATTGACATTACATCAGGCAAGTGGTGTGGGTTGGTGGCCTGGTGTGGATCCTAGGATGGTGGCCCCTGTTCAAACCAGGCGGACGGAACAGGTACTTGCTCTACAAGCTACCTTACTTACCAGGTACCTACGTGGTTTGGTAGCGTGGTACGGCACAAGCAGGCAGGTGGGCAGGTAGTCGAGGCGACCGGGCAGTTCCCGCGGTCGGGCTTGGCTGCGCTCATCGGTTGATTGCTCCTGCCCTACCTACCTTTCGCTGTCTCTGACGCACTGCACTGCACTGCACCTGCTTTCTGGTGTTGCGAGATCCGCGCCTCCCGTCAAAAGGCACCTCAATAAAGTTCTTCCACTGTCGTAACTATCTTCCTTCTTCCCTGCTCACCTACCTGCTTAAGGGACATACCCAGGGTGTGAGGAGGTAGGTCGATAGTAGAATCAGATCTGCTCATCTTACATGCAGCCCCCAAGTGTGAGGTCCAGCTCCAGGCTCCCTAGCGAGTCCCTATGCATAGTCCCGTCGCAAAAGGCTCGAGTGACCTCTGATTCTGGCTTCAGCGGTCCCCTTTCAGTGTACCAATGAGCATATCTAAAGGCCGAGCTCGAGTCGAGCCATGTGCGATTGCCAGGTGAGGACCCCCCCTGTGGCGCGACCACTTCTCGGACCCGTGCGGGCTGTGGTCTGGCGCCTGAGAGTCATGTCCAAAGAAGTACCTTACGAAGTAACCCCCCCTGTCGCACCTGTCCTTACCCCTGCCCAGTCCAACCCCAATCCCAAAGTCATTTTACCCCCCCCCCCATGTGCCCGGTCACATTCGCTGCCTACCTTACACGGACCAGTACCGGCTACCTACCCACCTGGCTCTGCTGCCGTCTTGCTGGGCTGCCATTCTGCCCGCTCCCGTGAACTGGGACCTGTAAATCCCCATCTGGGTCGTACCAACTTCAACTGCCTTCCCATCGTCGTCATCCTCCTCACTCTTCTGCTGGGCCTTGCCTGCCTGTCAACTGTCGTCTGTCACCACCAGCCTCAGGTTTTCTGACACTGTCCGGCCCCCATACATAGGTCTGACGAGTACGTGCTGTGCATTGTGCTTTCGCGACACGAGGCAAAGACACGCCAAACAAAACCTATTCGATTCATTCGTCGACCGTCTCCTTTCTTTCGACGACTCGCATCCAGTCACAGTCGCCAAACGCCTCCCCAACTCGGTCGGCCCCCTTTCGCCCCTCCTAGCCTCAGCTCAACTCGAATTGACTCGAGTCGCATTGCCTCACCACGACTGGGAACAATTTTTTCCACCCCTTTAATACACCGTTGCCTTCGACAACCAGCTTCTCTCGGACCAGATCGTACTCCTTTATGGCGTCGACACGTACGTGACTTTCCAGCAGCCGCTGCACCCATTTCCTCAAATACCAACGGGACGCACATGCAAGACCAGAGCATCCTGTCACCTTGCTTGGCGACCTGAGATCCTCGCGACGCAACATCAACGAAACCCAAGACCAACAACGACAGATCGATGACAACCCTCGGTGTTTCTCTGTTCGTCTCCACCGCGCCATGCTAACCGTATACAACTCTGCGCAGTGACCTCGACGAGCAATATTCGCTCGGCATAAGTCGCCCACACGACGTTCTTAAGCTTGAACGCCTGTCATGGACGTCATGAGGTCGCCCTCGCAACCTGCGCCCACCGGCCTAGGTCTTTCCATGCCTTCTCCACAACGAGACGTCTCGCAACCCGCCACCACCCTCAGCCCTGCACGAAAAGCGGCACGCGAAGCCAAACGGAGGAGAGCTTCACCACCCAAAGTCGGCACCTTGGGAGGAAAGGAGAGTGCAACACCAACGACTCTGAGTGGCACCAAGTGGACTGGAAAGACGCGCTTCGCAAGCTCAGCAACATCGAAACCACTCCTTCCCGTCACGGAGCGCAAATCCCATGAGGAGAAAAACACTTCACGAAGGGCACGTGGCAGGGGCAGCGACGACAAGATCGACATCGCTCCAGATGGTGGTTCGGCTGGCCGTGATGGACGGCAGTTCACGGTGGCGAACGTCGGAAACAATGGTCGCATCTACCTCAGGTAAGAGCGCAGCATATTTTGGCGGTCGCAGCACAGCCATGACAGGTTCAAACGTGGAAAAGAAAGCATAGGAAGCGATAGGACGTTGAGCTGACGATTCTGGTTATAGGCCCTCTGTCCGACCAGCACATCAACGATACCCCCAGCCTAATTTTGTTTTCCCCATGACGCCGCCTGGCACAGCTGGGCTTGACACATTGGCAGGCAAATCACAAGTCGCCGACGGTGTGGAACCTATGACAACCACCAACAGTCTGTGGACGCCATCGCCCTCTACCCCGGGAACCGTGCGGAAGCAGTATTTCCAGACGCACAGTCGCCGCCCGACCGGCCACCGACGCGCGCTTTCTGACTCGACGATACGCGATGACTCTGACGTCGGTGCATTCAAAGTGGTGATATCTAAACCGGGCGAGGATCTGAATCGACCAAAGACAACGGAAGACATCGACGCCTCTGGAGGCCCACTGCTGGACATCGACATACCAACCTGGAAGATAGGCAACCCGCGGTTTACAATAAAAGGCACGCCCTTTTTCCGAGGCTCGAGCTATGCGCCAACAGAAGAGTTGCCGAGGTCCAGTAATGTCTCTTTTCTGCGCTCCCAGCGCGGTGACCTTGCACCCTATTCGGGCGAGAGCTTCGTTCGCTCAGGAAGCCGAACCCGATCTCGATCCCTCAAATCCGGTATCCCGGCCGCGACGCGATGAGATCGCCTCCAATCACATCAGCCCGCCTGCCTGCTCCTTACCGTTCGACATATCTCTCAACCCACTTAATCATCGAACCCGCAATGTTCGATGCTCTTACCTTCAGACCATCATGCGACGACAGAGCAATTGTGCGATACGCTACAGCGACTGGCGCGGTCACTGCCGCAACACCTCCTCGACTCGTTGCCGAAATCACATCACCCACGTTCCTCGACTATGAGCTCATATCAGACTTTTTCCTCACTTACCGCGCCTTCCTGGAACCTTCAGATCTACTCCGAATGATCGTGGCTCGCCTTCGATGGGCGCTCGGCCGCGATGATGAGGTTGGCATGGTTGTCCGGGTTCGCACGTTCGTCGCTATTCGCCACTGGATCCTCAACTATTTCATGGACGACTTTGTGATTGACTACGGTCTCCGAGTGTCCTTCTGCAACCTCCTCAACGACTTCGTAGAGGAGCTCTCTCAAGACGCTCGAGCTCGAAAAGTCCAGCTTAAGATTTTGGCCGAACTGAAAAAGTGCTGGAGGAGAGTGTGCGCGCAGTACTGGGACGGGCCTGAATTCGATTCTTCTCTCGACCCCGATGAGCCCATAGCGCCGGGAGGAATTGCTGGCCATCGTAATGCCTCTCTGGACCCGTCATTTTGGGAAAACACAGACCTGCCGCCTCGCTTGTCTGGCTTGTTTTCTGCTGCAAAGCAGACCGGCGGAGACGAGAGAAGTTTCTACGCTGACGTTTCGCGAGCGGGCCACGTTGGTGATTCACACATCTTGGGACCGCGCCCGAGCACGCCCGAGAACCAGATCGCCCAAGAGTTTGAGCCGCGGCAGACCTCGCCTAAGAGCATGGCCAGCTTGGATGTTGTCTCATGCTCGTTTCCCGGTAAAATCGGGCGAGCTGTGCATCCAGGATCTAGTAACCCTATGGCAGTTCATCCCGTGCCACCAAGTTCCGTTTACACAAACGCGGCTGCTATCGCCACAACTCCCCGAGCCCTCACCGGCAAGCGCGTTCGACCGAGCGCTAATCATCAGAGAAACGGCAGTCTGACCGACTCCCTCAGGGAAAGATCTCACTCTACCGACAAGCTGGGCTTGAATCAAGATACCGAGCACCTTCTCTCTTTTCCTTACGCAGGAAGTCTGGTCCGTGGAAATTTACTACCTCCCGGCCAGCCCTTTGTGGAGATACTGCCCCCCAACATATCCAGCGAACAACGTGAAACAACCATCTTCCAGCAATCCCCACTGGGCCCCGAGAAGAGCATGGCGTCAGCCATGTCAGGACCAGGCATGAAGAGGTTGATTGGCAGTGTGCGCAGGGCTCTTAGCACAAGAGGCCAAGGCGTGTCTCCCACCCAAGGAAATTTCATCAACATCTCGCCCATAGGCCCTCGTGGTGCGACGACGAACCGCCTGCCTGGCACCGCCATCGTACCACAGGCTCGTCCGCATCAGAACGGCGTTCGACCGCCCGTTCGAATTGACCTCCTTGGTGCTGAAATTGCGGAAGATTTCAAAAAGGCTGTCAGAGAAGATGCTGCTGCCGAAGCTGAGCAGCGAGACCTGGCGCTGCGCCTCCCGGCTGACCACCCTTTGCATAGCGCTATCCCAGACGAAATGCTGGAATATTCAGCTGCGCATATAGAGACACTCCTCGGTAGCCCCTCGATGGCCAATCCTATCATAGACGACCACTTGCGACCCATGAGCGACACAGGCATCACAACCGGCAGCAAATCCATCGTTATCGTCGACGATACGCTTCCGTTTGGTCTACCCCTTCCGCTTCCCTTAGTGCGTGGCTTGAGACCCAGCATACATGACTCTGTGGGCCACTCTGAGATCGACTTTGTTGATAACTTGCTCCCGACGAATGCCGATCCTACGCCTCCTAATACGCCGCCAGCAGATGAATTGGGAACGCCGCGAAGATCGTCCAGGACTCTTAACCGACATGCCATCCGGCCGTCGCTCTCGTCTGACAATCTGCCTCCATTCGTTCCTGACCTTGCCACACTGGGTCGTGGAGAGCACGGTACTAAGCCATCCGTGGACACCGGCCGGCCCTCCAGCGACATGCCGAGACCTTCCTCAGAATCCAACAGACCTTGGACCGGCATCACCAGCATCCCTGGCCACGCCAGACCACCACTCTCTGGCTCTGCGCACTGGCGACAAATGTCTAGCAAGACGAATCAGTCCTTGAATTCTATCCTCCATCAAGGAAACACGTCCTTTCGGAGTGACTACCTACCCCCGTCGACTGTCAGGAGTTTTGATGCAACGACTTACTCTGAAGAACGCTCCATCGCAGACGATGATGTGGAAGCTCTCCCGCAACCTCTCCGCGTACTGCGACGTAGGCGTGGGGGTGATTTGCGAGCTGCCACCAACACGGGACAACTGGATACTTTGCCGCTACACAGGACGCGGTCCGTTGGTTCGCTAACAACCTACTCTGAATCAATTCGCAGCTCGTACTTGCGAAGCCTTGAGCAGGATTCTAGTGCGTTTGTCGATGTTACTTCTAGCCAGTTTTCACCAGAGCATGTCAATACTTTCTCGCTCGGTGTCATGGCGGAGCAACCACCTAAGCGCGACCTTTCTCTGTTCAGCACTCATTCGTCCAAGCCAGTCATGCGCCCGTCCTTTGAGGCAGAAGCTCAGAAGCTCGCACAAATTCCTGATGACGCTAATGATGACGGTGGTGTCGAGTCTGCGTTGGCCAAACTTGAGGGCAAATACGAGAAAAAGCAGTTCAAGTTGTCGATGGAGCCCACCAATACACCCAAGACGATTACCGCTCATCTCGATGGGGCGTTTGGCGGTTCAGACATGATCGAGAAGCAGGGACCCCGGCATTTGCATCTTGGTGATGGGGTAGGCTCTACTACTGCTCCTCACTACGTTGATGGCTTGTCTTCTCAAAGCGGCCCGATCACCCTCCACGTCCCACGGAGGCGAGCGCACACCGATGCAAAATCATTCCTCTCGGATAAGTCAGGTGCTTCGTATTCGTCGATTCCATTGCTTGAGCGCGGGCTCACAGATGACGGGAGGAGCAAGACTGGCACGGAGGAGTGGAGGGGAAGATCCATACTTGTTGACCGCGGCGAGGCATCTCCTGCCACGACGCCTCGGCCATCGCCGCTCTGTGACTCTCAACACCCGTCATACGAGTTTGTTGAAAAGACCCGCAGTATGGATGGAGTCCAGTCCAAGAACACAAGGCACAGTCCAAGCGAAGACCAATCTTACCTGGACTTGGAAAGTGAAGACGACGGAACCGATCTCTCCTCAGAAATGTCGCTAGAAGTCATCAACTCGGACGACTTTGACGGAGAGGGCAGCTTCCCTCCGATGGACCGCAGCACCTCCGTCATCAAGCGAATGCCAACCCATCCTTTGGCTGACTCAAGTTCGGAACGCAAGAGTCAGATTCCGTCACCGCCCATGACCTTGGCTCAGGCTCTTCGAATGTCCCCAGAGACCGCCACAGTCCCTCAGCTTCACGAGCACCAGTTGTGGTCCTCTAAGCCTTTACCACTGCCGCCGACACCCGATACAACGCCTACAGCGGCTCAATATCCGAAAGATGCTCGGAACGCCTCAGATGACGTGGCATCTCATGTCGATGCCAGTGTCGCAAGCGACAGATTCTCTAGGAAGTTTTCGATTCATCTACCTTTCATCCTGGCTTTTGACTCGGAAATCCTCGCACAACAGTTCACACTGATCGAAAAGGACGCACTCAACGAGATCGACTGGAAAGAACTCATCGAGATGGGCTGGAAGAATGCAACTAATAACGACTCGCGCTCATGGGTTGACTTCTTGCGTAACACCGATGCCCACGGCGTCGAGGTCGTCATTGCAAGATTCAACATCATGGTCAAGTGGGCCTGCAGCGAGATTGTTCTCACCCAGAACATTGAGGAGCGAGCTCGGTGCATCATCAAGTTCATTCACCTGGCAGCCCACTGCCACCGCTTCCGCAACTTTGCGACCATGAGTCAAATTGCCATTGCCCTGACAAGTCAGGAGGTTGCCAGGCTTTCCAAGACGTGGGCCATGGTGCCACGTCGGGATATGCAGACGCTTCAGGAACTGGAATTACTAGTCTCCCCAACCCGCAACTTTCACAATCTACGGGCTGAGATGGAAGGCGGATCCGACTCGGGATGTATTCCTTTCGTCGGCATATATACACACGACCTCCTTTTCAACGCACAGCGTCCGTCCGAAATCGCCAGTTCACCTACTACAGCTCCTCTTGTCAATTTTGAGCGATGCCGGTATGCAGCCACCATCGTCAAGACTCTCCTCAGGCTACTCGAGGCCAGCACTCTCTATCAATTCCAACCTGTCGAGGGCATCACCGAGCGATGTCTTTGGATGGGCGCATTGACTGATGAGGAAATTCGAAGACATTCTGAGAGCTTAGAATAAGCCAGCGTGCCTTGCCTACTCATACACTTGCCTTGCTCCATGACAGCAAGGATAAAATTACCTACCAGCCTAGGCTGGAAGCCTGATGCCGACCGCAGATCCGCGTTCTTCTGTAAATGTTCACCACATTTTACTTCTCTCGACATAGACACAGCCCCGCACGCGCATACTGTACACCTAGTCCACTTTTGGCCCAGCGGCTTGCATCCGGTCCGACCTATACATAACACTCCTTCCACATACACGTTTCCTTGGATTGCAACGAATTCTCGTCCTACACAGGCGAGAAGCGGCACAGGCATCAACGATTCGATGACCAAGTAGCCGTCGCGATGGCGTTCGCGACTGGCTTACTGTTTTTATATTCTTGTACACATAATCGGCGCGCTTGAACCGCACATTGAGGATGGGATGGGAGGGCAGGGAAGAAACAAGTCGATACCCCATGACGTTCTTTTTCGTGAGCGAGCGACTAGGGTCGTATTCAGAGGTGCAGAAAGTATTAATGCTTCAGAGCGACGACATCGACATCGCTGCCATAAGCAAGGCGGACGGGGAATGATACCCTTATAAGAGACTTGCACGCAATATCATGGTCAATTGCTGTGATTTGCCTTGACTCACTCAGTCCTATGCCATGCAAGACTCGCGCTTTCAGCAACGTGACGCCAGGATGCGGATGACAAGCCCGCATGCTTCCCTAATGGGAAGCGCGCTTTACCGTGCTGTTTGCTTAATTTGTCTTCCTGTACCCCGCCCCAATATACACAAGCTTGCCTCATGGGTTCCTTGAGCCCGTGACAGCGGCTCAGATGTTCACCCTGGAGGCAAACACTACCATTCAGCCGAGAAGATCTTCAACGACCACTGCCATATTACACCCATTGGTCAAAACGATCACGTACGTGAAGTCATAGTGTTGCACTTTCAGCAAGGTATCTTTTTTGGTGTCTTCCCACGAATTTGATAGCCCGTTCCAAGTCTCCACAGATCACAGTTCAGCACCATACTCCGAGAGCACGAGAGGAAGAAGGTACAAATGAGAGCATAAAGGAAAGGGCGGGCAAACGATCAAGTTCCACCCCTTTGGCGTCGGTACACACAGGGCTTTCCCTCTCACCACTGGCCCCTAAAAACGGGTTCGGCCGAACCCACCCAAGAGTCCGGATCGAGTATCTTTCCCTCATCAGCGCGTTCCAAGCCGAACCCTTTCCCTACGATATCCTCCCCTCCAAACCTTTTTTCCCTACTTCGTATCCTCCGAAGGGCTAGAGAGTGCCCATGTTTGCGAAGAAGAAAGACAGTTGGTTCCAAAAAAGTGGCCAGCCCAGAAGAGTCCCAGGCGGGCGAATTTTCCCTACGCCCGACAGCGGTTGCGCATTGCTCCTAAGATACAAATACGATTTACCACTCGGTCTTGGTGGCCTCGCCACCCCACTCGGTGCTGGTGCCGGCGGCGGGGGCGGCGGCGGGAGCAGCGGTGTTCGTGGCACCCCACTCGTCGGTGGTGCCGTCCCAGTTACCGGTGGCACCGGTGAAGCCGGCGGGGGCGGCAGCCCACTCGTCGTTGGTGGCCTCGGGGGCCTCCTCCTCGGCGCCGACGACCTTCTCGTCCTCGACCTTGTCCTCGGCCTCGGCCTCGGGGTCGCGGTCTGAAGTGGGGTGTTAGCGGGGCGCGAAACATGAGACACACAGAGAGGCAGGGAGCGGAGGGCACATACAGAAGTACAGATCGGTCATGACCTCCCAGGGGGTCTCGCGGTTGTAGATGGTGCCGCGGAGGCGGAGGACCTCACGGGCGAGCATCCACCAGACGAGACCGATGGAGTGGCGACCCTTGTTGTTGGTGGGGATGGCAACGTCAACGTACTCGGTGGGCGAGTCGGTGTCGCAGAGGGCGATGACGGGAATGTTGACGTAGCTGGCCTCGCGGATAGCCTGGGCGTCGGTGCGGGGGTCGGTGACGATGATGAGACGGGGCTCCTTGAACGAGCGGGTGATGTAGTTGGTGAAGGAACCGGGGGTGAAGCGACCGGCAATGGCGACGGCACCAGTGTGGTGGGCAAACTTCAGGACGGCACGCTGACCGTAGGGACGGGCGGAGATGACGCAGATGTCGGCGGGGTTGTCGATGGCGGCGATGATGCGGGCGGCGAGGACAATCTTCTCCCTGGTGGACTGTTAGGAAACCCCGACGCCTGACTTTTCTATCTTTCGAGTGCGCCTTACCAGGTCTTGCCGACGTTGATGACATTGACACCGTCCTGGCGAGTCTTCCAGAGGTAAGGCTCCATGTGAACCTGCATGTTCTTGCTGCCAATGTGGGCCTGAGCTGCGAGAAGCATCTCAATGTCCTGGCTGGTCGCGTTGAAGACCGAGGGGAGGTTAGCGGGAGCCATCTTGACTGCAGTTGTCGTTCTTCCTTCGGGGAGCTGGAGGGATGATGAGGGGGGGAAGGAAAGGAAGATCTGCGAGGGCGCGGATTTTTCGTGGAGGTTTGGCTACAGGCCCGGGGAAAGTTCGCGACGAGCTTCAAAATTCGGCAAAAGTGTGTGGGTGCTGTTGCCCTGAACATGCACGCGCACTAGTCCCAGAGAGCATTAGAGCGAAAAAGGGACGTACCCTGGCTAGTTGGCGAAGTAGCATGCACGTGATCAAGCAGATGGTCCACATCAGGCTTAGCGTGCTGCCTGCTGTCGCCTGAGCAGATGCGCTGGAAATTTTGGCGACTTGACCCGCGATGTACGGAGATCGGGTTGTCGAAGCCAGAGGCGTGCCATCCTAGCAACATACGCCATGCCTCCCAATGTTCAATGCCTGCAAAGGCTAAGCTCATTTAGCTGTAGGTGTTCCTCAAGAGACCGATTATACCGGCATCGACTGACAGCGGCGACTCAGTATGTCTGCGCCCAGCAGCGACCAAGTCGATAACCCCAAGCTTTCTCCCTGTCATCCAGACAGCCAGCATCTCCTACAAGGAGGCCAAGAAGCGACAGCGTGCCGACCCCTACCGATGGCAGCAGTCACAGCAGCGAAAAGCGGCCAACATCAAGAGGCAACAGGAGATCAAGGCTGCGAGGGACGCGACATGGGGTGACCCTGTCCATGGCATCCCGACGCCCTTTGTCGAGTCTTTCGACTCCGCTGGTCAGGCCGAGAAGTCCACACCACCCAAGGATGAGGATGGCAACTACATTTCCGAGCCATACGCTCTGCCGACGTCACGTCACATCCAGAACCACCTGGTCACCCGCGACGAAATTGAAACCGCCATTGGGCACGCTTACACCTTGTCCAAGCCCATGCGCAGCGAGATTCGCGACCTCGTCGATCCGGCCACAGAACAGGAGGCAGAGCGGCAGCACGAACTCAGCCACAAGCGTGCTGTCGAGGCGATGAGCCGCATCACCTCCATGAACAACTCTAACTCCAAGATGCGGAGGCACGTCAACATTCGAAGGTGCATTGAGACATTCGGCCGCCACAACACAGATGAAGTGCTCAAGCCAAAGCCCGCCTCCATCCACGCTACGCAGGAGGCCGCAC